GTAGTAGTAGTAGTAGTAGTAGTAGTAGTAGTAGTAGTAGTAGTAGTAGTAGTAGTATCAAAATATCTCGTGAACCATTAAACATCTACAACTGATTACCTTTTGGAGTCAACCCAATTCTAAATGGCTGCGACAGCTAATTGGCCTTAGCTCACACAACAACTTTTCCACAATCAGAATAAGATAATCGGATTAAGTGCTTATGCACGCTGTTTGGATTACCATTCGGCATAAACCACCCGTCTCATTCCAGTTACAAATTCATTCGGATTGCACTGAATCAGTTCASAATAATCCGAATGCGTTGTTTACATGATGCATTTTTATTGCAAATGGCCATTTAATATGATTACTTATGTCCATGTAAACATATCTACTGACTAAAACTCAGTAAATTTTACAAACATTGATCTAAAATATGCCGTGGTAGTTGCTGAGAGTCATTCACAATACATACTCCATTTATAAACAGGTTGTGTAAGATGCAGATCATAACCCCTGTCTCGTCAGTAATGATTTTAGTCCAAAATTTTGTCTTGAAAGGCAGCGGGCGATATCCATTCCCTTAAACAATCCCAGATTTTGAATCATGTCTGAAATAGTTTTGTTGCTTCTTGAATTTTCTAAATTGYTTACGTGTTGTTTGTTTGTGTTCCTTTTTGTCCCTCCAGGATACGTCCAGTGCAGATGCACCCTGGACAGCAGTATGTTATAAAACCCAAATACTACCACACACACACCACACACACTCAAACACACGTCCAGGCCCAGCCTGAGAGGCCCATTCCTCTGACTGTGGGACACAACCCCATCCACGGTGAGTAAGTCTAAAAACTACTTCTTCMCTACATGTAATAAATGTTTTGACAGATAGATAGGGCCTTTAGGGAACTTATTCTGTTTTTACGGTTTTCATTAAATGAATTTTATCTTTTATGTTTCACCTTGAAAGTATGGTAAAATATAAATGAAGTAGTGAATCAGAGACAACTCTTTAAAAGTCCTGGAGTGGACAAGTCAGGAACTTGAATATTAAACATCGTTGGAGAGACCTGACCAACAATCCTCGTCCAATCAGATTGAATTTACGATCAACGAATGCAAAGCTTGTTGCATCGCCCCAAAAAACTGGAAACTGCTGTCAAAGGTGCTTAAACTCAAAAGAAATAAATATATAAGCAGAATCAATGTCATAGTTTAATATTTTGAATCAGGTGACAAAATAAAAAAAAAGAATCGTATATAAAAAGAAAAAAGTTATTTCAACAATTATATCATCTGGTTAGAACATAAAATTGCAAAAAATAAACAGGGACAGACTACTTTCTGAAACCAAGTAATTTAATTGTCTTTTCACATTACCAGATAACTTTATATTAATTTATATACACATATTTGCATTTTCATAGTTTGAGTTACTTCTTATTTAAAAAAAACAAACAAGCACAACAACAGAAGAATATCAGGAAATTCTCATGCATTCTTTTCAATTAACTTTGTTAATGGTGAGGAAAAAGTGGGATTTTTCCAGGTAGTAGCTTCAAACTCATGGTAAAACTTTTGTTGTTAATTCATTCACACAATCAGACAGGAAACATAAAAGCCACCCCATCTGCTCCGACACCCCGAGGACACGGAGAGAATCTGGAGTTTTCAGTTCAACAGTGAAAGGATTTGTTCAAATTGCACTTCCAGTTGTAACGACGTAAAGACTTAAGCATTGCCTGCTGCTTGGAACTGTCCAAAATGAAATATTACACTCATTTTCTGGGGGCAATTTCAGACAAAGTCATGGAGTGTGAGAATTAGGGTGTGAGATGGAACAAAATAACTGTGTTGATTGAGGAGGACCTCTGAGTTCACTGAAACAAGCGCCTCCGTGAACAGGAGTGGAAGTGGGCCGTGTCTGAACAGCTATTATTTGCTCCAAATTGACGTCTTTCTGTCCAGCACCTCCGTATTTAAAGTGAACCCCCACAACCCGCTCACCCCTCTGCAGTATTAAATGGCTGCTGACGTWCAAGAACACTAAACAGACCCCCTTTCAGACAACCAGAAGTCGACTGTAACTGTTAAACATATATTAGCCTCACCACAGTCATATTTTCAGGAGGCATTTCTTTTATTTCTTAGCTGGCCAAACAAGTTGAAGGTAAAAAAAAGTTTTCTTTTTTTTTTTTGTTTTGTTTGGTGGTCAAAGTCCTACATGTGTTGGATAAACTACAGCCATGCTGCAGCAGCTGACCAGTTTGGTTACTGTGGCGTGTCAAGGATTCAAAGACCGGGCGCCAACATCAGACTCACCCGTACGCGGTGACGAATAGGCCAATATTTTTCAAAGTGGTCGGGCTTCTCACCACAGCCAGTCAGACAGGCCTGGGTATGTTTATATATAAATATTTAGTGGTTGGCAGATGGAGCAATGTTGTTTTGTTTTGCTTGAATTAAGCAAAGCTAACCTCATTTTAATTTCAGCAAGTAGTCGGTGAAAGCCAAAGAAACGGGCAGGCATGAAAGGAAGAGAAGGAAAAACTGACATATGTCTGTCCGTCTAACTATCCATCCTATACTTATCGTATTTATGTGTGTATAATGCAAAACAATGTAACTCTAAAAACCTACCATGAACTTTGAGGGTCATATAACACGGGAATAAATTTTGCCTGATTTCTTTTTAATGTTCTACCACAATAATTGTCATTATTTGTCTATTCTATTCTATTCTATTCTATTCTATTCTATTCTATTCTATTCTATTCTATTCTTGTATATAACTGAAATATTCGGTTTCAAGGAATATTTTTCTCTCTGCCCTCCCAGCTAAGCATATAAACAACAGCAGTTGTTTTTTTCACACTGGAGCTGGAGGAGGAAAAACTTGTTTTCATCATCATCATCATCATCATCATCAAACTTTATTTATAATGCACTATAACATCAGCCACTGCTGAAACAAAGTGCTGAACACATGAAATAAAAACTCAATACAAAAACACAATAAAATCACACAGTTAAACAAGTAAAATCTGCACCAATACAATAAAAGTTAAGTAAAATCAAATCTCAGTTGGGTTGAAGGCCAGTGAGAAAGTTTATTTTGTGAGTTTTGTTTTCTTTTGTTTCTTGTTAACTACACAGCTGAAAAGAAGACGTGGACCATTTTCCTATTTTAAAGGGGCAATATCATGTAAATCAGCTTTTTTGAGCGTTATATCAAGTTATAACATTATTCCCTCATCAAAAACACAGAGTCTTGCTTTGACTCCTTCACGCATGTTTGAGAAATCCTGCAGTGTCCTGAGGCAGTCATGCATGGAAAACAAAAATGGTCGGTTGGGCCTAGAACCACTTTTTAGGTACAGCTTCTCCTCTGGGCTGTGTCTCCAAGTCGAGCATCTGCATCACAGAGCACGCCTCCTCCACAACTCCTGCAGGCTATCAGCAGCAACTATTAGCAAACAAATACCTGGTGAAACCGCACCATACTACTTCTCAGTAGGGTTGGGCAATATAGGCAAAAAAATAAATCACGATTAATTGTGGTATTTAGCCRATAACGATTAATTTGACGATTAATCCCCTGGAGCCCCTGGACGCCCTTATTTCATAATCACATGACCAATTTAGTGGGAAAGATTTGCTCTTCATAAAAATCTGTTCCAAATTGTGTCAAAATTACAGACTTCAGGCTATACATCAAATTTTAAATTGTGTTGATAGATAAATAAATTACAGAACTTTTTTAATGTTCGTTATATTTGAACCAGAGAGGAGCACCGATCAGACTCTGCCTGTTGGCATTAATCATATTAATTGTCAGGTGCCAAAAAAATAATCGATTAATGTTTTTCTGACGATTAATTGCACACTATAGGATCATGCCCAACCCTACTTCCCAGTCCAGTCCTTTTTGGATTAAAAAATGTCTTTGAGAAAATGTATCTTCAGATTCCAATGATGATGATGTTCTTAAAAAATGGTTTGACTTCATTTTTGGAAGTAACCCTTCGATGGACAATATATATATA